ACCGATTTGTGTCACGCAGTGGACATGTTTGGACAAGTCCATCTCTTGTTGTTGTTTTGACTTGTTGAGTTTAAAGAAAGTCCAACAATGATTCTGCCCACTGAATATTTCAGTGGGCAGAATCATTGTTGGACTTTCTTCGTCTTAGTCATTCTCATAACAAGTTGATAGATGTAACACCACTAATACATTATAACGGGCCTGTTGGTCTAGTGGTTAGTGACCCTAACTGCTAAGCATTAAGTCGTGGGTTCGATTTCCACCTATCAAGCTTTGCATATGTAAAACTCCGCCGTACTGTACAGCACATTTCTTCTTGACTGAGAGACATATAACATTTTGATGCCGATCTATCGATACTCTATCGATATTGCGGCAACAGTGGGTAATTCAACAGTACTATCGATAGTACCGATAGCACAAAATGTGACAAAACTGTTGACGACTTGCAAATAGGATCGATAGTATTACGACTTGCAAATAGCATCGATAAGATTACGCCTTGATATCTACGTGTTACCGATACTATCGATACTATTTTCCGTAACGAATTTACTATCGATAGTTTTGAAGACTAATCAGTTTGAATAATCACATGTAATTCTTTGAGACACAAACACAGACTTACGAATCACTGATCTCAGTTAATAATGAGCATAAGGTTGTATACAAACGTTATTTAATGGGTTGTTACAGACACTAAATAAACCGGTGTGACTAAGTGGTGTTTACGAGATTCTCTTTTGTTACATAGCTATAAAACCTTAATCAATACTATCCAAAAATAAACAACTATCAATAGAATCGATAGCAAAGTTGTTAGGGACAAAAATAGTCTCGATACTATCGAGAGTATTGTCGATCATCAATAGTATTACCACATTTTGTACTATCTACAATATCGATAGTATCAATAGTCCTATCGATATCCAAAGGTCATAAGAGCATCACTCCCCACAACAAACAAAATTCCAATACCTACGAGTACATCACACTCAGCTCTATGGAGAAAGATAGTGGCAGTAAGAAAATAGCACAAACCTGCTGAATTCTTCTATTGCCAATAGAAAACTTTTTCTACTGATTGCCAAAAGTTACCTGAAAAAAAAATAGTCTGTAAAAAATATATTTTAATAGAGATTACCAAATTTTGCACCATAAAGTAACTATGTAAGCATAGTAAGTTAAGTCTATTAAAGGGATATGGTAAAAATGCATAGCACTTTCTGTTTAAAAACTTGGCTTTGGGAGACAGTTGCCATAGTATGGTTGAAATAATGTTAATTCTCATATAAGGAGCTGCCCTTGGATGAGAATCGACTTTACCGTTTTACTAGTCAACTAATCTTAGTAGTAATTCTAATAATTATTGGTCATTTCATTAATAAATAGTTAAAATTATTTAACACAGTTTCATCAAAAACAACATGTTTAAAAAATATATTGGTGCAAGATAGGCATCTGTAAGTTCGTCAATTGCTGCTATGGTTAACCCTCAAATATCTCAATGCAGGCCAGAGAGTGACCCGAACCAGAAGCCTATTAACATCTGGGCCCGTCTTAGCATTCCCTCCCTAAAAGAGACAACTTGGAAAGCACACAAGCAGAACTTGGCAATTCTCCTAGAACATCCTGGAGCAAACCAAGACCTAAATAGCCAAATCGAAACTTTCCAAAAAGTAATATACACACATTTCAACGAGCACTAACCACTCGCAACACCAGAGGATCCAGATATAACTCATATGACCCCGGGATTACTATTGGTGGGGAAAGTGTTTCAATAATATCAGAAACCGTTACCTTTAAATTCCTTGGAAGAAAGATAGACTACATAGATCATATATATATATCATACTCTATCTATGAACGCAATAGTCGATGACTTCGTAAAAGAAATTGACAAGGTAGATCAAAAGCCAATAAGTAACGTAAGAAAAGTTTGGATTTACGACAACTACTTAACATCACGTCTCAACTAGCCGTTTCTGGTATACGATATAAACCAGAACCATTTAAGAACACTGTACGCGAAATTCACTAAGACATTGAAGTCGTGGCTCGGGCTACCACCATCTGCAGACCCGTCAACGTTGTACAGGGTCTCGAATAACTTTGAAATGAAATTAAAAAACCTTTGGAACTCCACAAACACCTAAGAGTTACCAAAAGGCATGACTTGTCAAAATCACAATACGAAATCATCAGATTTTTAAAAGCTCGAGTCACGGCTCCAATCCCACAAGAAATTCATGGTGGGTACACAGTCCAATGGAGTTGGATTGGGAAACGCTAGAAGACAGACCGACAAAAAGATAACAAAATCTTTACTACAACAAGGTGCACGCAATGAACCTAGAAATGTAGAAGGAATGGTTAACTCTAGGAGAATTTTGTATCCCACCAGCGTTGAAATGGCGAACACTTTTATACGATTGGTCACCTGCCCTGTTAAAATTTGACCTCAACGCCTTTTAATTGACTCTCCCCGATCAAAGCAACCTAGTAAGGTAGGCTACTGAAAAGGCTTGTACGATGTGCAGTGCGGAAATAGGTACAGCCAGGCACGTACTGACAGGTTGTAATGCGCTAATAGACCGGGGTCATTATTCACGTCGCCATGATAGGGTATTATAGTACAAACATACGCGAGGCTATGAGTTTATCACATACTATAAACAGGAATAACAACGAACATAAGAACATCGCGTTTGTATAGGAAGGTTCAACAAAAAAGACTTCACAAAAGCCGTACTCAATCCGAATAATATCCGAGCATGGCCGTCTTAAAGGCACTGGAGGGCAACACAATGACCTCTGGTATTGTCTTCGAATGCCACCAAGCACTGGAACAGCTCGCTATATTCAATGGGGTACTCCTCCAATGGATTAAAGGGCACAGTAACTCACACGGGAACGATGCCGCAGATGAGTTGGCAAGGAGGGGCTCGGCAACCCCAACCTCTGGCCCAACTCCACTCCTGCCCATATCGTTTAACCAAATACGATGCTGGGTCAGGCAACGGACCTGTGAAGCACACAACCAGAGGTGGAAAAACTCACCCGGCTGCAGACAGTCCAAACTGGTGCTGAATCAAGTCACACCACGACTCACCTGCAGACTGATCAGCCTTAGCAGACCGGAACTCAGAATGGTTGTCGGAACTATTACAGGACATCTAGCCCTGAACCGACAACTATTCATAATCAATGCGACGGACAGTCCCCTGTGCAGGGGATGTCTGGAAGCTGAAGAAACGGCCGCCCACTTAGTCCTGGAATGCGAGGGAGTGGCCACACAACGGGCAAGTATCATTCCTGATATAAAGTCGCTCCTAGAAGCCTGTGAACGCCCCAGGAGGCTTCTGCGCTTCTGGAAGGAGCTTGGTTGGCTCACCTAGTCAACCAATCCTCGACGCATAAAGGACCACTCTGAGTCTAAATGCGGAAACCGAAGCCCACAACCAACAACCAACCAACCAACAACCATACTCAATGATAAATAACGCCAGGGAATGGACATTATTAGTGGACACGTATGAAAATTATTACAGAATACCGGAGAATAAATGAAATATAATAGAATTTAACATTTAATTTACTATTATAAGACAGTTTCCAGGAAAAAACTTTTGAGCTTTCTATGGTAAATTAACTGAAACATCTCTTGACTCATTGATAGTTTTATGAAATGTATATAATACCTTTACAAACTTGTTAAAAGCCTTAACAATGAAAATATGATGAACGAAATTATAATTGTTCTGTTATTTCTATATTATTTTTGTAACGAAGTATTTTTACGGTCCACTTCCATACAAATATTGTAAATTGAAAAGTGTGTCTGTCTTTTATATCTTAATGCTTTATTGCTTAATGCTTAATGCTTTATCTTAATGCTTAACCAATTTAAATGAAATTTGGTGTAGAGATAGTCCGAGTCCCAGGAAAGGACATAGGGTAGTTTATACCCTAGAAATCATCCTTTAAGGAGGGAATGGGGGTGGATGTTTTAATGGGGAATCAATAACTCCTGAACTGATTTAGGTGAAATTTGGAATGAACATATCATTATTCTTGATGAAAGACATTCACTACTTTTTACCATGCTAACCGACATATACGCGGGCGGGTGAAAAAATTGTATTTTTCTGGAAAAAGCTATTGTTTATATAAACTGAAAATTTTATAAACTATACATCTGTTTTTCACTCAATTACAAATTTAAGGTCACATCGGACATCAGAATTGTGAAGGGACATTAAAAGGCACTAATCAGTGACACAACTTAATAATGTCCCTGTTGTGTAAGATGTGTGGAGTTATTATTAAACTTACAATTACTTTACACATATTACATGTAGACTATATTAATTTTGAAAGTACAATGAAATTCTTTAGAACTTGTACTCAAAGGTGAATCATCATCATCAACAGCCTTTAATAGTCCACTGCTGGACATAGGCCTCCCCTTAGAAAGGTGGTTTTGGCCTACTATACCACGCTGGCAAAGTTGAATAGGTTATTGTTAATGACTAAAATGTTCAAATTGCAAGACAATGAAAATAATTTGAAATTCATATCTTCATATTCACAACAGAGATTATTACTGCAGATATAACAAATTAAGAATGACATGAAACTGTGAAAAGTTGTATTCATTAAGTTTTCAAGTTTCTTGTTAATTGTTAAACCAAGTATTAAAAGTGAATGATTTGGCAATAGTTATGTATGACATCATAACTGATTATATACATTTCTTTTTATCATTATTAAAAAATGAATCATTTGAATTGATACTTATATTGTGAAACTACTAATAAAACAAATGAGAATTTCTGTAACACCAGAGAGCCATAGGTTTTTGCCAATACTCTAATAAAAAATGACTTTGAAACTACTCATGACAATAACATAACCTTAAAATCCAGATACGACAACATACATGCCGGGTGATGAAAACCGGCTTAGATTTATTGTTTAAATATGGAATATATTACCTGATACGGGGTTTCATCTCCAACTTCTTCCAACCGCTTCAAGTTTAAACACAATAAACAGTTTTCTTTAGGACTCCAAACATAGAAAACTTCGTCTTTCAATTCGATCAAATTACGCAATTTACCACTTGAATTATCACTCAAGTTCCCCTCTAAGTCCTGAAATATTTTATGGTTGGGCAATTTAATCTCATATAAACGGCTATCCATCGTAAATAATTAGTAAACAATTTGTTTTGACAAATCACAATTTCTGAACTTGAGTTTTGACAGCTGCTTAGAACTAGCTCTCGCGGTATTATGCAACGTTTCGTTACTGCTAAGTTTTTAGAAATTGTAGTGGAAAGAAGTTGATAAGATAATATGTTTTTATTAATTCCTTTAATTTTTTTATTCGCATTCTAGTTTAAATGTATTTTAATCTTTTACTAATGGGTGGAGGAAGTTTACTTTCGTCAACAAGCTAATATTATAATAATTTGAATTTTTCCTTGTTAATGGGATGTGAATGTGGGTGTCGAGAATTCTTCTTAGAGGTGATTTGGGGAGGTCTATGTATATCAATAGTCGTCCCTTGGCTGAGATGATGATGCCGCTGAGGTCCTAACTCTGGTACCGCGGATCAGAAATTATTTTAAAGATTCTTATGCATATTTGTACACTACAGCACTACATAAAAACTTTATGTTTTATTTTTACAATAATTGACAAGTTGAGTTCAGGTAGACAATATAGTAGTCTGTGACAAACATGACAGAATGAGATGGCTTCTTAATACTGCTGTTGTATATGTACTGGAATTGATATTTATATATTATTTAAGCTGCATGGCCTATGGCAAAAACGTAATATGCTTACGTTCTGAAGTAATACATTCTTAATTATTTTAAGATGCGTTTTGTCTCACCTGTCACTAACTGTTTGGTGTAGGTACCTACTGAATTTTTTCGTAGAAATCGGAAGTATTGAGGTAATGACGAAGTGATAGAAACATCTTATGCATTTTCAGTGAATTAATTTTATTATTATTCTTTTGGCTTCAATATGGAACATTTCAGGTATATGAAGATTATAATTGCAGTTTTACTTGTTATTGCTATTTACTTCTTTTTACCTATCTATGATTTTAATACAAAACGAGCACCTACAACCCGACGTACTCCAACCAGAAAAAGTAACCACAAACCTGTAAATTTAAAATTAGATGATATATTCATAAGTGTAAAGACATCAAAATATTTTGAAACGACAAGATTGCCAATCATATTGAAGACGTGGTTCCAACTAGCAAAGCAACAAACGTGGTTCTTCACGGACACAACAAGCTACATTCTCCAAAATCGAACGAACGGACACATGATAGACACTAAGTGTTCTCCACGGCATGATCGGCACGGTCTGAACTGCAAAATGGAAGTTGAATATAATCACTATATAAGGAGTGGTAAAAAGTGGTTTTGCCACTTTGATGACGACAACTATGTCAATGTGTTTCGTTTAATGAGCTTTTTACGGAAGTACGACTACACATATTATTGGTATCTAGGGAAGAGATCTAAATTGAAACCTGTGGTAACTCTACGAAAAAAATATTTAGCTTCTAATGATACCAGAAGGAAAAGGATTCGTTTATTAATTTCGTTCGCTACAGGCGGTGCTGGATTCTGTATAAGTAAAAGTTTAGCAAGAAGAATGTTCCCTGTTGCAGGTCGTGGTGGTTTTAGACGCCTGTGTCGCGCTGTTGGGAGTACAGACGACGTTTGTGTTGGTCTCATAGTGCAATATGTGACATTGAAAAAACCTGTAAGGTTAACCGAAGTGAAAGAATTTCATTCACACATCGAGCCATTGAAAAAAATTCCAATGAAAAAAATTCGTAATCAGATATCCTTCAGTTACAAATCTAAAAATATCCTTAATATTCCTGCACTCGAAGCTACTCATGACCCCAGTAGGTTTTTGTCATTACATTGCATGTTATATCCATATTTTGATTATTGTAGGAATAAAGCTAATAAAACATATCAGGTCACGTCTGAAACAAAATTATTATTACAAAATATTCGTACGAATAAAACTGACAGGTCTTCGATAAAAAAATTGTAATTTATTCAATCAGGTTTTGAGTGTGAACAATATTGAATATGGAAATAAATACTTTTTTTATTTTATTATTTTATTTTAAAACTTTATGCAGCGGGCACATTGGTGGACCTTGCCTTGCCTTTTCCGAATAGGTATATATATCTTTCGCATTCCAGTCTAGAGGACAGGCAACCCGATAAGAATTAAGATCACCCACTTAGTGCATAACTTATGTTTGAAATCGGACATGCTAACGAAATCCGTTCTCTACAGGCTTTCTTTATAAAACAACAGTTAAAGAAGAATAGGTATATATTAATAATCACATGCTTTCAGTTTGAGAAATTAAACCGGAGTGATACCATTGATACAGTGATAAGGATATGGAATGTCACCACCCCCATCCATCCCGTAGGTGTCGTAAGAGCCGACTGAGGGAGCGAACTACGCAGGACAACAGCACTGCAAAGACAAGGAAAACTTGACACAAACCCTATATCAACCCGTCTGGCAAGGCGTGGTATAGTAGGCCTAAACCTCCTTTCTAAGGAGAGGCCTAAGTCCAGCAGTGAACTATTATAGGCTGTTTATGTGATACCATTCACAGAAAATTATGTACAGAAATTCTATTGTTGCTTTTATCGAGTAAGTGAAGTCACAGGGCCAAACCTTAAGCTTGTTTTAAGCTTAAAAGTTTTAAGTTTGGAGCATAAACTACGAACTATACATACTTATATTAGCAGGAACGACAAAGACTCAATACCAGCTTCTCACTCTGGACCGCATCCAACGAAGAGCGACTCGAATCGTCGATAGCTCAAACATCTCTGATCGGCTCGATCCCTTGGCGTTACGTAGAGATGTGGCTTCACTCTGCATTCTCTATCACATATATTATGGAGAGTGCTCCAAGGAAATGTTCGGACTAATATCAGCCGCAACTGTCCGCCATCGTTACACACGGCAAAATTTTCATCCTCATTACCTGGATAGTTGGCGCTACACAACTGTGCGCATTTCGAGACACTTTTTTCCCCGCACAACTATGGAACTGTGGAACGGGCGTTATCGTCTACGGTATTTCCGGACCGATACGACCTTCAAACCTTCAAGAAAAGAGCGTACCCCTTCCTAATAGGCAGGCAACGCGTTTGTGACTCCTGAATTGCAGACGCTCATGGGCGGCGATGGTCACTTTCCATCAGGTGACCCGTCTGCTCGTCTGCCCCCTCTAACATAAATAAATAAGAACAACAGGTATATGAACACAATGATATAAAGATATTGCAAACTAACAGTTCCTGGACTTGCACTTTAACATCATTAAAGTAAAGATTTTATCTCCTTGAGCTTAACTACACTAAGACAAGACATAACCTATATATTGACGCCTATATATCGACTTAGAAAATTTTTCGTTTGTTTACTTAACAATAAATTATATATCTTTCTTGTATATTGACATATCTTGATTTTTTGAGCCTCTAAAATTCGGCAACGGCGTCACCTGTACGCGGACACCTCGTTTTCGGGGATTCGCTGTATAGTTTTTCCAAAAAAATTTCATTTTCATCGTAATTCTGTAAAAAAGCTACGAAACGTACGTTCAACTTTGTCAATTGTTAAATGATTACATTAGAGCCCAGCTTCTTCCTACTTCTATTTTTACTTTACTGTGACAGATATTTTGACCATTAATGGCTAAAAAGCAGTATCTATTCAGATAAACAAATTTTCAAAACTGGCAATTTGATGTTCATATAAATTTACTGGTCGCTACTTCCCCGAGTGTCAGGGTTACTCAAAGCGCGGTTAGGTCCTTCCCCCTCCCTACCCCGCAAATTATACCAAAAAAGATTAACGATTTTTCAAACCGTAAAAAGGTCGATAAACTTCCAACTGAAAATGCATTGATTAGGATTATTTATGTGTTGTTTTAAGCTATATAGTATAGTTATAGAGTGAATGAGTATTTTCAATGCACAAGGGAAGGAATAAAATCACAATCACATGTGGTAACTGTTATCATCACACCTGCGACTGATTTACAATACCACTGCTACTTAATTATAATAATTACGCTAGCGCAAGACTCGCGAAAGGTCTAAATCTTAGAAAGAAAAAAAAAGGTGATCTTAGCTAAAAATAATTTTCATCATCATCATCATCATCAACAGCCTTTAATAGTCCACTGCTGGACATAGGCCTCCCCTTAGATAGGAGGTTTTGGCCTATTATACCACGCTGGCCAAACGGGTTGGTATAGGGTTTGTTTCAAGTTTTCCTTCTCTCTGCAGTGTTGTTAAAAAATTTTAATTGATGTTAATGCCATTTGTAGTGGCTATGATAAAATGAGATGAGAAGCAATAATTTCCATATCTAATTCACACAGTATTCTCTTTTGTTCTATGGTACTAGAGCAAAGAGAATGGTTCAAAAATATTTATGTTTTTGTTAAAAAAAACAGATCCTCTACATCTATGAAACTATTTGTCAGTTTTACTTATATTTTCCTTCATTTCTGGTGCTTTGGCTGTGAAACTTATATCGAAATAGGTACTATTTATTTATACAAATGGAAAGTTATATCAAGCGGTCGTGTATACAGTAAAAAGGGCATTAATAGGATATGGGATTTCTCCATAGATTTCTAACTGCTGACTATTATCAAGGCATCTCTCGTTTTTCTCACACACGAGAACTTCCTTCAGTTGTAATGGATATTCAAAGTCAACAAAAACTGTAATGACAAGTCTCAGTTAAGAAACATTGTCTGAATGTTTACATTACAACCATTACTGTCTTAACCCTAATGGCTCGGTCAAGAAAACGTGGTCTTGGATACAGGAAAATGAAGCTTGCTATATTAGGATTATTCGTATTTGGCTTTTTCCTAATATTGACTTATCAGAATACTTTCACCCACACATGGCGAAAGACACCAATTCCTATTAATTTATCACTGATTGCTGACATGGAAAGTTTAACTCTAGACGATATTTTTATAAGTGTAAAAACATCAAAAAATCTAGCGACCACAAGACTACCGATAATATTGGAGACATGGTTCCAGTTAGCGAAAGAACAAACTTGGTTTTTCACGGATGAGGACAATATGGAATTACAAAAGCAAACGAATGGGCACATGATCAATACAAACTGTACGTCGCAGCATAACAGGGATGGCCTGAATTGTAAAATGGAACTGGAATACAGATATTACATGAAAAGTGGTAAGAAATGGTTCTGCCATTTTGATGACGATGATTATGTTAATATACCGCGGTTGGTTGCGGTTCTGCAAGAATACAATCATAAGCAGGATTGGTATTTGGGAAAAAGGTCTTCCTTCAGTCCTATGAAGTTGGCGTGCCGTTATTTGAATTATACTCGATGGGCAGTCTATGATATCGTATTCTGGTTTGGTACAGGAGGAGCTGGTTTTTGTATTAGTAATGCTTTAGCTCTGAAAATGTATAATGTATTTGCTTTGAATGGATTCACTGACGTGTGTAGTGCCCTAACGCTTAATGATGATGTTTGCATTGGTTTTTTGATTGATTACGTGACGAAGCGTAAAGTTACGTTGACCCAAGTGCCGGGCTTTCATTCTCATATTGAAATTATGAAGAAAATCTCTTTAGAACATTTTCAGAAACAAATCACATTCAGTTACTCCTCAAATAATACTATTGATATCCGTGGGTTTAATACTTCTGTTGATCCTAGCAGATTTTTGTCATTACATTGTTTTTTATTTCCCAATTTTGGCTATTGCAAAAATAAGGAATCTGTGGGTATGTTTCAACAATAAATTGACCTTATTCAATCGGTTTTGTAGCGTTCTTGATTTATGTTCCTTATCTATACAAATATACTCTATATTTTTAGAACAGTTTTTTTATTTGATACATTTTGTCCAGTCATAAAATTAAGGAGGTGTCTAATAAGGACTAGATATATCAATCATTCCTTCTGACCTGCGAACATACAATAGCTGTAATAGCAGAGCACTGTTATAAAGAATAGTAACGGTCTAATTTGATAAAACAATCTACGCCAATCACGCGCTAATCTTTGAAATCGGTTCAGATTCGAATGATTTTATTTTTGTGTTCTCAATGATTATTTTTTGTTCCTCGTATAACCGGCATTCTATATTACGTAGCCAGAAAGAAGAAATTGATGTAGGTACCTTATCCTTGCTTGCCTAGATATTACAGATATTGAAATGTTAAAATGCTAGCTGTAATTATCGCAAACAGAGAAAAAATAAAATAAAATATCATTGCGCTTACCTATTCGAATGATTTGCCTATAAATGTTTATTTTTATTTTCATATTAAATGATCTGAAAATGTGGTGACATAAAGGGGCCATATCGCTGTTGTATATTAGATCTTTTAATGTTATATATATAGGTATATAGCTTGTACTCAGTACAAATTGACTTAAGTTAAGTGAAATGAAAACAAAACGCACACACAGGTAACTGATTGTGCCCACATAGACGCATTCCGTAGCAGTATATCACTTTGATTCGGAATGGTATCACGTAATTTCATCTCCCTCAGCGCGGCCCATACTTTCTTATAAATAAAACAACATATAGGAGGCGATAAATTCCATTCTACAAGATTTCGTACGTGAATTTTCTTGTGTAATTTAATATTTTGTATGTTTTAAAGGTTTAAGAATTATTCTTGGCAGTGAATGAGTGAGCGCTCTAAGTCGAAGTGTGATTAAGAATCTCGTATCGCTGTTTACGTTCGTAATATCTTCCTCTTTTGTTACTTCGAGCTGTTTGATTTCATTATATAGTTTTATCGCTTCACTTCGGATATGATCTTGTAAGATGGAAAAAAATGTTTCTTTATTTAACCTAAGTGAATAGATGCCTGCCTAACAATAACCGTTCCTCAGCTGTCACAATTTAAAACCAAGACCATGACCTTAGTTTAATTCATAAAAATAAAATACCCTTTTTTTATTAATGTTATATTTTTCAGTTTAAGTACTCGTACATATTACATCTCCATTATTTTAGTCATAAGACCAACTCTGCTGGGCAAAGACTTTCCTTATTCTTTCCTTTCTTCTTTAAAAAGACAACTCCCGCATTAGAAATATATCCTGTGTCGCGGGGGACTTTACAATCATACATGAAACGAACACAAAGAATACTCAGACTCAGAACAAAAATTTGTGGCTCACACAAAGTGTTGTCAAATGTGGGGTTTGAACCCACAACACTCGGCGTAAAACCACTACGCCATCCGTCCTGTATTTATCTTTGATCTTTAAAAGTTAGTCGTTGATATTGATGGATATTTTGCGTTTCAAGTACATGTTTTAATGAAGAAAAAATTCTCAGTAAACAATTATACACCCGTATATCGCTTGTTCCCTTTTTAGGGTTATTTCTGAGAGGCGCGCTTGTATTCTACTAGGCTTGTTTCTGGACTTTATGGTACTACTTAGAAGTAGATTATTTTCATAATAAAGATCCGTCTGGGAAACTTTAAAACACAAGAGACTGATAAATAAAGAGAGCACTTGGAGAGCGATCGGGCCTATGCAGTAGCTCGCTTCGAACAAGCAACTATCTTCAAGACTGACTCACTCTGACTGATTCTTACTCCAACCAATCAGAAATACCTAAAATTGGTTTCTCTAGATTCTGTTTTCCATTGATTTCATATGGAAAACTTACGTAACACAATAAAAATGCAATCGCAATTTCATGAAACACAAATGCAATTATGGAGCTCTCTATAAACAGTTCTGAAGAAGACTGCTTTCAAATGTCTCAAGTACAACAACAAGACATATCTATACTTCTTCCGAAGATCAATGTGAGAATTGCGTAAACTGAATAAAATATAAAGGAGTGCCGAGTGCTCGGTGCTCGCGATATAATGCTATTGATAAATTTACCGAAACTCTCACACGGTATTAAAGGGTGGCAAACTGGCGATGCCACCCTGATCTATTATTATGCTGGGCAGGTCTCGAAGAAACGCTAGGGCTGTCCAGTGCAAAAATTGGGTCAAAGTTTTTGTCTTTGGCTATCATATCTCATAAACTACCTGAAAATACATTCGACCATCACTTGTACCTCATTTTAAGAAATTGGCTAACCTGAGAAAGTAAAGTTATGCTTGTCAGCAGCCTTTAATAGTACAGTGCTGGATTTAGGCCTCTCCTTAGAAAGAAGGTTTTGGCCTACTATACCTCGCTGGCCAGACTGGTTGGTATAGGGTTTGTGTCAAGTTTTCCTTCTCTTTGCAGTGCTGTTCTCCTGCGTAGTTTGTTCCCTTAGTCGGCTTTTACGACACCCAGGCAATGAATACCGGTGGTGACACTCCGTATTCTTAATCCATCCAAAATACTCGTGTTTTGGCAAAGATGAATCTGCTATGGTAAAATGATTCTTAGTTTGATATTATTGTTTCACTGACATTCTACATACAAATAATATAGCTAAAAAAATATTTTCAAAATTTTAATAAGCCCACCCCACCATTTTGTATAGCCCCACCATTTTGTAGGTACGTGAATAAGATAAGACAGCTCAAGAAAAAAAAAATCTTTTAAAAAATGAAGATGAGAATTATATTACTTGTATAATTGAATGATACAAGTATATTATTAGTTCATTAAAATTTAGATTAAAAAAAAACACATTTTTGACATTTAACTTATAACTAGAATCATAACACTAAACTACATACGAGTATAATTAATTGTAGTAGATTAAACCATAACAATACAATATATGGGTCTTTTTCTTCTTTCCCAGCCGATTTCAACCATGGTGACTATTGCTAATTATTACTACAGAAGCTAGGATGATCAGCTCTCGCATGTGCCCTTTGATGGTTACGTATCCAATCTAGTGAGTAAAATTGCGCGATCATTAATATATAACTAGTGAGTATTTTATTTAAATGGCACAAATACAGTTATTATTATCAAATAATTATGTAAATACAAAAACCAATTTGATGTCGATAGTCATAGATAAATTTATAAAATAAAGGAAACATTATGCAGCTAATCAAAATATCACAAATAAAAAAAAATACAGTACGTATCTAAAAAAATAAAATAATAATAGGTTTTTCCTAGCCTTTCCCAAAACAAAAATTGATTTACACATAGATTCTAAAAAAAAGCCGACTCTTTTTAAATTTTTTGCACTACAAGACGATGCAATTTGATTCCAATTATTTCTGGTATGGAGACTCGCCATTATTCTTTTGTAAGACATAGAAGACCATATTATAGTTAACTGAAAACAATAACTATAAAATATATTTATCTTATTAACATACAAATACAATTAGATGTTATGGGCAGCCCTGGCCTGGCCCTGTGGGACAGCACCGATGACTTGTCATTAATAACGACAGTGGAAATGTATCAAAAGGTGACGTGTGTCCCGTCTGTCTCGGCCCTTATTTATGATACGACAAACAATATTTATTCGCGTGTGTCGCGGGCATTAGACTGCTACGTGCATTGTGTGGGATATTCGTGTGTTTCTGAGTGATGGAGATGTTTTCGCACCTAATTTGATTACGTCATTTTGATAAGTTTGGTTGGCATTTCATTTGGAACTTAATGAAGTTATTCTAGTTTATTTATATTTATATATATGATAGTGAAATATATAGTAAAAGAGCTAGGACATGTCAGCATTTCAGATTCTTGACTTTAGTTTCGCGTGACACGTTATTGTCATAAAGTCTGTTACATTTATTTCATATAATTCTGAAATTAATGTTACACGATTTGATGATTTATTATCAGCGTGGTTCTGTACTAAAATAAAAGATTACATTGCCTTTGTTCCGTTCATTGAACATGGTTGCCAGACCAGTAAATCCATAAATAAGAATTCAATTTACGTTTTGGCAAGCGGTTATCCAGGTACTTTCGTGCAAATCCGAAGATCACGCACGGCCGTCTGATGCCAAACTAGGCTAAGCTTGCACTACGGTAGCCATAAACATACATTATAATAGATAATTTACTTCTAAACAGAGAATAAATTGTTGTTTTGTTTGTTTTATAAAAGATAACTCCTGCAGTAGGATGTGTCGCGGAGGACTTTACAAACAAACACAAAATGGACACAAAGGACACCCAGAATCAGAAGAACAATTTGTGGATTTACACAAAATGTTGTCCCATATGGGGCTGGAACCTACAACTCTCAGCGTTGTATGAAGCGGCGAGGTTACCGCTTAAACCACTAAGCCATTCGTGCAGTACAGAATAAATGGTCCGGCTCATCACATGTGGAATCACATGTTTATCCTATGTGGAAATCGAACTCTGACTGCACGGATGGCGTAGTGGTTTAAGCGGTCGCCACGCCGCTTCCTACTACGCCAAGTGTTGTACCCCACATGGGACGACAATTTGTGTGATCCACAAATTGTTGTTCTGAGTCTGGGTGTTCTTTGTGTCCGTTTCATGTATGTTTGTAAAGTCCCGACACAGGATATATTCCTAATGCGGGAGTTGTCTTTTTAAAAAAGAAAAAAAAAGAAACTCTCAATCTCTGGCTAAGCAGTAAGTCACTAACCGATAGATCAACAGGTCAGTTAAGTTGCTCGTATGTATAAATAGTACAGCAATACTAAAAGTGGACCATAAGGCCATTGCACTGATGGTATTATAAGAACAATTAAAACCTCGTTTATGCTAAAAACACAACACTAGATTATTCTTATATCGACCCAGATGAAAAGGAGCATCGCCTTCATTAGATCAAAGCTGGAACCGTCTGTCTATGATCACAAC